CAGAGAGAGAGAGAGAGAGAGAGAGAGAGAGAGAGATGCAGCGTTATGGATAATAAAAAAACAACAACTACAAAACTGGTAAGACGCAAAGAGATTCCTTCAGCCTCCCCTGTTACTGTATACCGACTACCGGCCAATGAAATGACTCACGCGGGCAATCTCAACACTCATCATGACTATTCGCAGACACTGAGACTTTTATTGTCTGTTTACGTACATCGTCTTTTGTCTTTCTCCGGTAGAGCCTGCTGGGGAAAATGATCTTTCCCATTAGTGCTTTACGGTGCGGAAAAATCAGCAAGACGACGCGTTCTCTAACAAGGAACAAATTCAATATTCATCGGCACGACAGACGTTCCTTTGATCCTGACTTTTGTTTCTCTGCGACATAGACTTGTAACATAATCTCCAAGACTATACACTCTGGCGTAATTCCGATTCACTGTGAAGCGCACCATTTGACTTTATTTGGAGCCAAATAAATGGCAAGCAGGGTAAAGTTGTGAGCGCACTTGACCATACGCACCACTTGACTATACTATTTGGAGTCAAATAAAAGACTAGGAGGCAAAATTTGCGAGCGCACTTGACTATAATAGCGAGGCTGGTGTTTTGTCCTTCCTTTACGCGCCCATGGTGCTCACCAGCGTAACGAAGTTTTTATAGAAAGCAAAGTTCGGCGGCCATGACAGTGCCCGATCTAAAATTATGATTCAAGTCTATGATCTGCCATTCCGTCCACTGTTCTTGCGGGAAGAAAATATTGACCTCCATTGCTTATGATTGCATGTATTAGGTAATCACACTTCTAATTCTTCTCTTATATCTTTTTTTACTTTCTCTTTTTTCATCCTCCATCTCTTTCTTTTTCTCTCTTTCCGAGTTCAATTTCAACTATACATTTGTGTAGTTCGTTTGCGTTCTTTCCGCTTCTTTATGTTTGTCAATATCTTTGTTAAAATCGTCCGCATAACATTTAGAATACATTTCTTCTTGGCTTATGGCAGTCTACAAATCTGATCTCAATGCATCTGTTTTAAAGCAATCCCGAATCGATGTTAAACGATCTGCCTTCAAAACTTAATAAGAAATAACATAGTGTTTTATTTATATATTATTTATATCACAGGGAGAGAGAACACCCATATTTATTTATGCACTGGCGTAGAGAAAAACATTATGATAAATGGAGCCAAGGAGGGGAACCGTGACAAAAAAAAATGGGAGCTTAATGGCATAACAAAAGTCTTTGAAGACCGCGTGATTGTTATGCTCACAGATCAAAGATGAACCAGCTTTGAGGGTGTTACAAGTCGGACACACAACCAAACACAAGGGAGGAAAGGCTGAGTATGATATCCTTGATGAGATGGGCTGAGCGTTGTTCATCTTAGCCGGTGAGAAAAAAATCATACAGAGAGTAGGAATGAAGTTGATCTGCTTAGAAAATAGCGAAGGTGCAAACAAACACACAGACAAACAAGCTCTCCACACTCTAACACATTATACGCTCTTTCTCCCCCTCCCCCCTCTCTATTGCAAACAGGTACACCAAAAAAAGAAGGAATTTGAAACGAAACAATGAAACAGAACAGTGCTGGTTATATGTACAATACCATAATGTGAATTTCCTTTACGTTAATGACCCCCCCCCCTCCCTCTCTGCCTCTGTCTCTTACACTCATTCTCTCCCCCCCCCCCTCCATCTCAATCCCCCTCTTCATCTCTTCCGGTCTCTCTGCGCGCTCGGGAAAATGAAAATACATGTCCCAAATACGACTACTAACATTTGTAAATCCAATTTCATTCCACTCCAGCGAGTACATAATAGATCTATCTACTGGTTCCCACTCATATAGGAAAAAAAAATCCAACCTAACAACCTTTGGTGTCTTTCACTTTCACCGACATATGGCGGAAAGATACTTTGGAAAACAAAGCCCTAGATCACAAAGTCTCAGCTCAATTCATCTTTGAAGTACCACGGAAGTCACTTTTCCACCGGACTCGCAAGTGCTCATCGCACGCGCCTCAAAACAAAGGCACAACGATTCCCATATGGTTGGATGAGAGCAAACTTCAGGATTTTGCGTATACTCGGGGTCGTTGAGTAAAACTTCACCTTACAGCAACGATCAAGCATAGGATCAGCCAGATAAAAACCATTTTAGGGCCATAGTAACATAGGCAATAAGAAGGTGCACCAGATTATACAAGAGCTATCGCCAACTATCTAGTAGCTTACCGTGGGTAGTTGGTGCAGTAGTCTGTGTAGATGACAAAACCCTTGTTGTGCCTGACGAAGCACTGGGCCACCTTCACAGGGTCGGACCCTGTCCTTTCAAGATCAGCCAGGAAAATGCTGGGATGAGACGGAAAATAGAAGCCTTAAGTTTAAAAACAAACAAACACAAAACGTAGAGGATTTAAGGAAAAACTGTTGCACACTCTCAACTCGTGATTATAAGAACGCAGTAATAATAAGAAAAAACACCCACAGAAGTTAAAAACAAGGATCGACAACAACAACATCAGTATGGGTACATCCAGATTAAAGCATTAAAAAATTAGAAGTAAACTAAAAGAAAACCCACTCCAGTTACAACAAAATTAATCTAACAGACACATACTAAAGAAAAGCATACTCCCCCCTCCCCCGCGCGCCATTTAAACAGATTCAGTGAACAATGCAAAGTTTAGTTTTAGTAAGAGTTTTAAGGCATTTGCAACACAATAAGGTCATATAAGTGCCGAAGATTAGAGGTGTTACAAGAGAGTAACAAACACACAAAAAAAGAAGGAGGGTAGAGATAAAAACGATAGATAAGTGATAGGAAAGAAGAAGCAAACCACACCAGAGCCCCTGCCAACCACCCACGAACAATACAAAAACAAACAACAACAACAACAAAAAACCCAAATCATAACAGAACCACCACCACAACAAAAAAACCCCAACAAAACCCAAATCAAGAAGCAGATAGATCAACCAGCACTAACCATCCAAATTTGTAGATTTCTCTGATGTTGCTGAAGAGGCAGCTGATGTCCTTCTTGGCGTCTCGAGTGTTCAGAATTGTTTCCAGAGGTTCCAGATAACCCTGCAGGATGACAGACATGGAGCAGTGGGTAAGATAAGACTAATATGTGAAACCTCCCTCTTTCTGTCACCCTATCTCCTCTTTCTTTATCGTTCCTGTCTACCTCCCCTCTCTCTCTCCCCCCTCTCTCCCTCCCCACCCC